ATATATATATATATATACAGGCGATGTTGCCTCATTTTTCTATGACGTTGCCCCGCCTGGGGAGAAGAGAGGCAACGTCACCTCGCGTGGGGGAGAAGGGAGGACCGAAATAAAATTTTTTTACTTTATATATATATATACCGAACGGTATACCGCTCGGTATACAGCACCGTACCGTACCGTACCGAGAGAATGTCGAAACTTTGGTACGGTATGATATTTCAATCCTTGATCCTAACGACACCAATTTTGCGTCTTCTATCATCTTGAGTTAGTTTGTTACTTCTTGTAGAACCACAGAATTGATTACTCTGGTGGATTCAGAAGCTCACACAATATCTTAATTATAAAAAAATACCTTTTCTTATGACTTAGGAGAGAATATTTTTAGCAAATCAACAGTTGCTTAGTAGGTGAAAAGGTTGATTTGCAGATTGAATTCCATGGTGCTCATGGCTGATTTTGCCTTCATGTGGTTAAACTTTATTGATGTAGTTGGAACTTGTAATCATGATAAAATGTCAACTGGAGATTGAATAAGTAACAGAGTCCTTTCTCTCATAATCCCATTAATGCTTTTTAACTTCTATGTAAATCATAACCCTGGCTTGAACTTTTTTTTTTGGTAAGTTCCCTGGCTTGAATTTGAACTTGAACTCCTAAGTTTTGCACCCATTCTCCTTAAGATTTATTTACTTCAAGGAATCACTAATTTTGGCTAACTTTCATGTCCATACAGTGTAATTGTAAGTTCGTTAGGACAAATTATCTTTAATTATTTTATTCCTGAAAAGTACTATGATTACTTGCAGGTAGGTGGTGAAAAGATGTATGAGAAAGCAAGGAGAGGAGAAATGATTGAGTTATCACCAAGGCGTATATCGATATATGATTTTGCTATTGCACGCAGCTTGGATGACAGGTCCCTCTTATGGTTACGTATTTTAAACATACTGCTTTCTAGGATACTACATTAGCAAGGATCATATCACCTAGTTTTTGTGATAGATTTGTTTAATTTATATTGAACTTTTTTTTTCTGGTAAAGGACTGGTCGTTTGGTGAGTAGTATTATCACGTAATTTTATTGTAGGACCACTGATTGGAAAAAGTTATCTGATAGCTTAAGACCAATTTGATAGGACACAGCTGAAGTTCTTGGTTCCATCGAGGACCCCTTATTTATCTGGAACTGACAGATCATGTATAGTTTTTGACAAGGTAACCATGTTCAGATGGTCTCAGTCTGACTTGTGTATGATAAAACTGAATAAAGCTCTAGTCTATGAAGACACAGACCTGATTGATTCAAAGGGATTAACCAAGAAAAACATTCTGAAAGATTAAGCAAGACTTAAGCTCCAGAATAAATTGGTTGTCTTTTTTACCAAGCAATTTTCTCCGTGAAAAGGCAGCATAAATAATTGAACTTGATCAATCTTCGTTGTGATATTTATTTTAAGACTGCAATGGTGATGGACCTTTTGTAGCAGCTGTTCCATGAACATGTTGTAGAATAAATACCTCCGTAAGTACAAGTCAAGTGTGTGGTGAACATCTATTGACGGTTCATTGGTAGCATAATTTTGACTTCATTAATCATTATCTATATTATTTATCTCTAGATTCATGCCTTGCCTATATACTGCAGACAAAATTTGATATTCAGAGTCATCTGCTCTAAAGGAACATACATTCGGTCTCTTTGTGCTGATTTTGGAAAAGCTCTTGGCAGGTATTCTTATACTCCATATTAGTACAGATAGGCATAGAATGCCAATTCCTAATAATTTATGCTTCCAAATAGCTTTTTTCTGTAATTTTAAGCATTTTACTCTGATGCTGTCTTTCAAAGAGTATTTTGAAGATTTATTCATAATTGCTTATACCTTAAGCAAGTTGTGTTGACAGGAGTAATGCTTGTACTTGAGAGATGCCTCTAAAACTATTTGTAATATTTATGGAGGTTGAATGAGACTTGATTCAACATTTTGATATTTCTCTTTCGTCAGTACAATTCATCTTCCTCAATCTTATGGGTCAGCTTCAAACCTTACCTAACCTATTTCTTTTAGTAGCATCTTTACATCCTTTGGATCTTCTTGACTTTGCTGTTGGTTAATGTGAGTTCTCAGTGTCAGAGGTTGAGAGGAGTCACAGGTTATTGTGTTTGGCCTTAATCTTTGTGTTTTTGGAAGTCAGTTTTCTCTGCCATGCGAGCATGAAGCCTCAGTTGGAAATTTGACCTCTATCACTGACATAATTCTACAGGTCCTTTTTGATCTTTCAGCTTTATTGCTAGATGTCTCGTTATTGATGTGAATTTCTTTTTTATATGGTGGTTAAGATTTCCAATTAAAGAAAAAGGTGTTAGTAGTGGACATGTTATAATTTTCACCCTGAAAGTTGTTGCTAAGTTCTTTAATGGCTCCCTTACCCTTCAACGAGTCAAATATTTCTCCATTCTGTCTTTTTTTTTCATCTGCTCTTTTGTTGAACATGAAAAGCCAGTAACATTCTGAACCAATAAAGTCTGCTACCTTTTCCTTCTCCAATATCTTGAGCACAATCTGGTTTATATGTTGGACCAGCAATGTTTGCTCATTTATTGTACATCAAAATTAGTAAAATGTTCGTTGATTCAGGTGAAATTTCCTAATAAGGCATGGTTAATGTTGTTTGCAGCTGTGCTCATTTGACTGCCCTTCGGAGAGACTCAATTGGTAAGTCATCCAAGATCTTCTCTTCGTGTGTGACAAAGAAACATCTTTTGACTTTATTATAAACAAATTTGCAAGCAACCTTTCATTTCTTCTTTATTATTATAAGACATCCTATCTGCGATGGCTGTGTTCATTTTGTTACTTTGAATCACAGAGAGTGCAAGCAAAATTTAATTCCTTAAGCAGATGAATCATATAACGAAGTCCAGATGATTAATAAATGTAGTTGTCTGCTTCTTTCAATTTAAATTGTTTGTATGTAGAAGCTATTTTTTGCCATTGTCGTTGCACCCTCAGGCTTATTGCTGTAAAAAATTGCAACAGATAATTAGTGGTGATAAATCATGTAGTACACAAATATCCCATGGTTGCTATTCTTGTTGAGTTTGAAAGATGTGCCCATAGTATCTTATCGCTGCTACTCGTGGATCTTGAGAAAGACAAGCGATCACCTTCTCGTTTTCTAGAGACCTATGTAGCTGACTCAGCTTGATATTGACATCCATTATGCTCTTCTGCAGGAGAATTTTCAGTCGATGATGCATGGAGTTTTGAAGAACTACAGGAGCACATTGTCAAGGGATACTTCTAATGGTGAACTTGTCCGATGCATACTGTATCAAGGAAACTAATCTATAAATGGCTGAATCCACCATCTGAAAATTTCTCAGTGGTGCCGAGCATTCTCTCAGTGAGTTCATTCTGTTCCATTTTTTTTTCCTTCCGCCTTTAGATTCCTCAAATATTCAAGGAAGGGTTTTGCATTGTCTCTATACGCTCGTATTGGTCTAAATTCATATCCTAGTATATTGTCATATTCTCCTGATTTTAAAGCATGATGATTAGACATGAAAGTGAACTTTATCATGACTAGTATCGAGTTCTTTTTGTATGATCGATAATCATGACATATTTAAAAGGTTCTTCAGCATTCAAGAAAAGAAATATCAAATATGTGGACTTATTTGTATACGACAATTATATTCTTCATTTTGTGTGTTATTATGCTGATTATATTATTACAAGAGGCTCATGCATCAGATTCTTTCAAGTACATGTTACTTGGCTGTAGGATGGCAAACCAAGAGAAGGTTATTTATATCTTTCAAGGTGCAAGCTTTTGTGTGCAACAGCCTTCTATGCCACTGCCCTCATGGACATGAGCTTCTGAAGCTCCAGGCTGTGGCGCCTGCGCTTGATGAACTCGTTCGCCTCCATGTTGACGTCTTCCTCACGTTCACTGCCTCTGCCACCACCGCTGGCAGGAGGCTGCACTGCGACGGCCTCATCAGTTCGGGCCTCCTCGTCGAAGCTCAGTATGGATTTCTTCTTGAACATCATCTGAAGGTTAGGAAAGTGAGGACCGGTGTACATGCTCGCCGTCCTGGACTCACCATCTTCCTGGAACCTGACATGGTTGCGCATGATGGTCGTCCTGGACTCACCATCGTCCTGGAACCTGACATGGTTGCGGTGTGAGTTCTGCGCCTTGGAAAGCATTTGGTCGAGCGGCTGAGCAGTTATTCGGTTTTCTGCTGGTGTTCCTTTGCTTGCTGCTGGGCTTCCTATATAGGCTAACAAAAGGCATATATTGCTTCCTATATAGGCCAACAAAAGGCATATATTCCTCAGAGATAAGAGTGAATCCTGTGCTCCTTTTGTCAGTGTCAGGCATCTTCGACAAAGCAAAACAGTGTGGAAGAGTTATCGAGGGCTGGAATGGTGCACGATGAAGACCCAAGGGTTCTACTTCCGTTCCGAGTGTCACCGTCTCTGCCGGCTGGCACGCACATACCGAGGGTCACGTGGCACATGAAAGGCCTGCAAGTGCGTGTCTAACGAGTCTCCGGTCAATGAGCCACCAATTCTCCAATCTTGTCTCATCTCTTGATAGCTAATTATATATTATCCCTTTAATAGTTAATTATTTTTAATATTTTGATTTTTATATTTAATATATATATATATTTTTTTTAATATTACGAAAGTAAAACATTTAGATCTATTTATTTTAATATTATTGATTTTATTAATAAAAATATAAAAATAAAAGGTAAAAAAATAATTTTAATATTATAGTTGATAATAAGGGATGATGTCATTGGAGGTCATGGATGAGTATTGTGGATGAAGCGACCGATGACAAGATATGAGAACCGTTTGATATTTGTATTAGCGTCAACATAAATGTAGAGCGGCGTCGCTCAACATCTGCATGAGTTTTGGCAAGGGCATGAAAAAGAGGAGATGAGGGGCTCATCGAAGGAGAAGTTTTATTTGTCACAATTGTTGTCGACCAAAAAGGAAAACTCTGGAAGGCTGGCAGGCGAGCGGTTGTCGAGCTCTTGATGGACGTTATCCATCGGTGATAAGTGAATCTCGAAATTCGATGTTAAGTACTTTGTTGTATCCTTCGTCGACACAATTGTCGAGCGACCCTTATCTCTCACTATCGCTCTTCTTATCCACAATAGTCATCCACGACATTCGGCGATGTCGTTGTTCATTATCACCAACATCGTCTGCCACCACCAATTGAAATATTAAAATTATTATTTTATCCTTTGTTTTCGTGTTTTCATTAGTAAAACTGATGGCGTTAGGATAAACAAACATACATGTTTTACTTTCGTAACTATATAGATCTAAAATGTTAAATGTAACTAATTAGATGGGACGATATGTAATTAATTAACCCACTTCTCAATGGAGTGAAGGTGTTACTTAAACTTGAGGAGCTCCAATGCCGCTATGGCATGAGTTCTCTCTGACTTCTCGAGCTGAGTTCAAACTAAGAAGAACTCAATACCTTCGATGTAGTTGAATTTAGTCATAAAGCATCTTATCTCTAATAGGATTGAATTCAGCCATGAAGTGTCATGTATCTTTACCAATCGGACTATGAAGCGTTGAATATGTTTGACATTACCAAATCTGATTAATAAGTATGACACGATCACATCCCTATATCTCTGATATGATCAAATCTTAGCATAAAATATCGTATATCTTTAACGAAGCTAAAAACCAACCATCAAGCGTGATATATGTATATCCAACATGGTCAAATCCGGTCGCAAAGAGTTCCCCACTTTCGATGTGTCAAAACTCATCCATCATCTGTGACACGGCTAAACAGTCCAAGAAGGGTTTCATTGTGTGGTGAGGGTAGGCTTACGCAAGCTACGTAATAAGACAAAGCAAATTGATCAATTAGGAGGGAATTGTGTCTGATAAGATATATTTTGGTTTCGGATGAATCACCACCGACATAACACGTCACGTCTCAATCAATGTCAGAATCCGATGCCACACGCCATTAGAACCCTATGGTGCACGCCAAGTCGAGTTTCGTACCAAGACACTATGCGATATGATCATCCCGAGAGCTCGGGGCAGTGTCGTCTGATGCTGCTCAGGTATCCCCAATGACGCCAGCTCGTCAGAGAAGTCGTCCCATCCCACAAAGGTCAACGACCGTATCGAACCGAGGCATAACCAATCCTCACACGATAGTATAAAAACCCCTGTCCGACACTCGGCCGGGGGGGAGAAAAAATCGAGATAAAAACACTCGACTAACTTGCTCGTCGGAGGGGCCAAAGTCGGGAAGCACCCGACAAAAGCTATTTTGCAGGAAAGCGGCCACCTACGACCAATGAGCATCTCAACCTAGGAATTGTCATCCAGTGTACGAGGATACGCTGCCATCCAACTCGGAGACAGAGAGATGTGACCCGCCGCACACGGAACCCGGGTCGGCAGACCGAGGAGCACTAATCAACACCCCCTCACGAGGGCATGATCGACCTCACCCTCCCAACTCTTGCCTGACTCGCTCCGAAACGGTCACCCCGAGCGACGAGCGTCTCGACCTAGGATACACCTTCCATCGCACAAGGGAGGGCAATGAGTTGGCCCGGATCTCGATCAACGTCAACCAGCACTCCTTCCCGAGGGCACGACTATCTCACCATCCAACTCGCTATGCAGGAAACTCCCGATATCGACTCACGAACCTAATCATGTTGACTCACTAGCCAAAATACTTTTATTCACTTCAACTCCATATGTCGAAACACAAAGAAGTATAGATGATGATAAGGGGATTTGACACTTGGACACTCGAACATCACGTCACTGTCAGTCCGACACCTATTTAGACGTCTTGCCAATCCGACACATCAGCTAAGCGTATTACATGGTCAGCCAATAATCCTGCATAATTACTTCAGTGAATAAACTCCTTATTTAATCGAGACAGTTATCATAGCTTCATATAAAAAGGATTCAGATTTACTACTACCCCAAGGAGAAGAATTATAAAATTTCCAACCATGTGAATTTTTTGTTGTCTTATTATTTTCGACTCGGACTTAAGCATCAAATTGATTTTTATCGGACTCGTCTCCGATTTCGGTTATATAGTGACTCTATCGTACTTAGATATCTCTCGACATCAGATTTATGATAAACTCAAATTCAAACCAAGATTGTTGACTTTATAATATCTCGAACAAATTAAATCTATCGTATAATTTTCTTATAAAAATTATTATTAAATACCCAATGATCGATGTTCGATACAACGATTTAAATAATTATGGATCGAACAATACAAATGATTTCAAGACTTGCAACATCAATTTATGTTCTGATTCTGATTTAGAGCATCTCCAACGCAATCCCGAGAAATCAAATCTCTTATCTTTGACCACTTTTTTTTTCAAGATTTTTCTCTTTCTCGAGTTGGCTTCCTTTGATCCGTTCGTTCCATGAGATAAAATCTTGGGAATCCAATATTAAATAGCTATCTATAATTAAGGGCATTCTAATAATGCCGCATCCCACCTCGAGGAATCTATTCTAAATCATGTGTTCCCGACCGCAAGGAGTTCGTCGTCATCGCCACCATCGAATCTAACTTTAGTTAGCATCATCCTCTATTGATAAATAGTACCGATGACTCTCGACCTCCCTTTTATCTTTCTTTCGAGACTTTGGATCTTTTCTTAATATATATAATCGCATCGTTAATTTGGTGCATAGGGATCGATAGAAGTAAAAGGGGAATAACCTCTCAACTTAGTGCAATCTAATAAAGAAAAAGAAGATAAATACATTTTGATTCATGCCCTAATAGAATGAATAATTAAACATATAAAGTTTTAAACAAAATTTTGTTCGAATTTTGGACATTTCATCAGAAAATATTATGATATTGATATTTTATCGACAACTAAGATGATTTTGTACTATTTCTTAAAATTTTATGATAATTAATTATCAAGATTTAAAAAATATATAATAACATTTGTGATCAAATCATTTAGGTAAAAATATAAAGGTATTTTAGTTCAAGTCGAAAAAAATAAAATACCCTAGAATTTTTATATAAATAAAAACAATAATCATTCATCAAAGAGAAAAAAAAAATTGAAATAAAAATATAAATTTTAGATTATACTGACATATCATAATGCTACTATGTATAACATGTCAACCTTGAACTGCTAATACCAAAACAAATTATTTGATCTTATCGACTGTAAATAATGAACCTGTCATAATTTCAAGTTATTGCATTATAAGCCAAAAGATGATATCGATAATGTAATTCCAGAATCCCTATAATATGTTCCGATTTATTGAGCTCCTAGCTCTGTTCTTTTGCACATTTGGAAATTCAACAATTTCAAACCCTGGTTACCCTAGAGAGAAGGCTTCTCGAGCCATTCCACCAGCATTTAGGCAAGAAATTTATCCCAGATATGAAAGCAAATCAAGCAAGTTTTACTTACAAACTACCTGAACTTCTTCTCTTGTTCATCCCTAACTATCGCATTGTAGAAACCCGTGCAAACAGCAGCAGGGTTCTCCTTAAGCTGCGATTCCATGATACAATTTGGGGGGCCTTGAGCCTCTCCTTAAAATGGTTCAGAAGCACTGGCTGAAGCAGAAAAAGAATCCCCTCTGGTTGTTCTCCATTGCTGCCGCTGTCGTATCACCCATTTCATCTCGAGCCGCCATCAGTGAACTCGTCCCAGGAGATTCGGGTGGTAAAACCATGTTCTCAGAACTGAAGGCACGGGAAGGAACCACATGTTCGGGTGGCGAAAGTGTGGACAGATAATGTAGAAGCATCTGAACTATCTGGCTAAAGTTGGGTCTTGAATTTGGGTCCTCCTTCCAACAAGAAGTTAAGATCAAAGCCAGTTCCTTGGGAAGGTCATCTGCACTGGGCCTGGCGTTCTAAAACACAAAGAAGTACGATGGACAACTTCAATAATGCTTAACAAATCGTATGAGTTAATAGGATTTAACAGCACAGTGGACTACCTTGAAAGCAGCTGCGTAGGCTGCCTGCAGATTAGACATGCCTTCAAATGGAAGCCTATTATGAACCAGCTCCCATAACACAATCGAAAAGCTGTATACATCCACCTTGTGATTGTAATGTTTCTTTTCCCCATGCCTTAACGTCACAGTGCTATATAACTGTGAAAAGAAAATGTTGTAGATTATTAATCAAATAATAACCTAAAATGATTCAGCAGAAAACTATGGATGTAAGCAAGCGCTAAGATGCACCTCTGGGGCCATCCAACGGTATGTCCCTGTTTCAGCAGTCATCATCTCTGTTAATGTTTCTTCCCTTGCCAAGCCAAGATCGACAAGTTTCACTGTCCTCTGATCTGCAGTCAACAGCAAGTTCTCTGGGAAAGAAACAAGGATCAAAAAATCATCAAGAGAAATCTCATACATGAACTTAATTAAGCATCCCGCAAGAGTATAAAGAGCAAATCCAGCACTTGACATAATTATTGACCATGTCTTCCTAAAAGTTAAGGTTGTGCAGATGGTCAAAAATGAAGAAGTCAAAAGCATGAACAGTTCTTTTTTTATTAATCGATAGAAACTAAAAAGTAAGTCATCGATGGTCATTCTTCTAATGATGTTAAAAATGCTCCAAGCAGATTTAGACTAAATTCAGGGAAGTGGCCATATCCGAAGAAGGATTGGCGGTATAGTTCTATGCTAAGGAACTGGCATCTAGCCAATGCTGCATACTTAATACCTATGGCAATCCAGTGGAGAATCACAGATACAAGTAAGAGTGACATTTCATTATCTACCATAGAAAATTTAATCGATGGACCATAATGTCAAATCATTTTCCAGATTAGTTTGTGTTTGACTATTGAATGAACTAGCATTTTGAGCTTAGCACCAAGAAAGACTAAGAAGATACATCAAGATAATGATAGCAATCATTAAGACCTAAGTCTCTTTTGATAAACCTTTACTTCTAAAGAGAACATGCACTAAAGAGTTTGGTCATCTAAGAGCGTACCAATGAAACCTCTTAGCATCAAATCTTTGTATTTTCATTTCTAAGGTTACTTTTCACCTTTAGGTTTGGTATTGGATGATAACCCATATAATACATCTGGTGTTGCATTAATCTTAGAAGATCATAAAAGATGAGGAAAGAAGGCAAGAACAATGACAAGAAGCACTTGAGATTATCCAGTTTGAGAAATGAATTATCTAAGATAAAGACCAAATTATGAAATATGAATATCCTAAAACTTTGTGTTCATAACAATGAGGTATATATCGAACTATTTTACATTGGTAGACATAACTTTTCTGACAATTGATTCAATGGAAGTATCATGAAACTGCCAAAGCAAGCATGCGATATTACTCAATGATATAACTCCATTGCTGAACAAGGTGCTAAAAATTTAGACTATATTATCTTCATAAGATGTACTTCTGGGAAAAAGGACAATGCAACTGCTAAAATTGGTGCATGTATGATGAATCAGGAGCAAAGATTTTCAGCTCAGATAAGCAATTAAAAAAAAAAAGTGGAACGACCATAACATCATGGGATGATGTCTTGATAAGGTTAATAATTCATTGCACAATGTCCATGACCTGAGCACAATTAGGAACCTTAATCTCTAGAACCAATATAGGGAAGATTTCATGGAATAGTGGCACTGAACAACATACAATGCAAGAGGATTAAGAATAATGACAGGCAACAGGTTCAAGCAACGAAAGATTGATGTGAAGAGGAATTCCTTGGTTGGAACAACCGGCAACAGAAGCTGATTAATGCAGTTTGGAAAAAATCACTAAGAGAGATCTAAAACACAGAGCAACCAACACGCAGATGATGTCAAAACCCTATAAAGAAAATTGATGAAGAGCCAACTGACATCAGCATCTGGCATAAAAGCTGATCAAGTCTGAAAATCAGCAATAGCTATGCAAAAGTATAGCACATAGTAAGATGACCTAAATCCAAGATAATTGTTCATTTAGCCCTGCAATAAGTACAGAATATTACATGGTCTAGTCTCTAACAAGTAGAAAAGATTGAAAATTTTTTATGCAGATGAAAAAAGCAAGGTGATTGTTGGCTTAGAAATGTTCGTCAAATAATTTTTGGCAATGGTTGACCCAAAAAAAAAAGAACGAATAAATTCACTACCTGGTCGATGATTGTTATGGACAAAGTGATTGCATGTGTAGTTTACGCCTCCTCATTATTGCTAATAGTTCTACAATTATATTATTTAAGGTGTCACGAAAGCATGGTTGATGATGATATAATTAGATAAGTTTTAAATGCACTTGTATATGTTCTAAAATTTCTTGATCAGATTATATTCGAATGAGAACAAACAGAAAAAGATAGAAGATTCAGTATCATCGAGCATCCATCTGTAACCCCTAAATTACAGCTACAAATAAATGTTATAATAGTATAGCTGATTAAAGGAAATGATCATGCATCACTCTTGGTAATGTTCAGAAACAACTACAAGGGTCAAGCTCCGTGAACAATAAGACATTATAACAAAGGAAAGACAATAGGTGACTCCAAGAATGTTACCAGGCTTCAGATCACGGTGAATGATACCATGAGAATGCAAGCACTCCATGGCCCGAGCTATATCCAGCGCAAAGCCAACAGCAACCCGAGGCTCCAAGCTCCTCGGCCTCATGTTTACCAAGTACTTGCGCAGCGAGCCCCCTAGCAGAAGCTCGGTGACCACCACCATCACGGGCTCCTTGCAAGCGCCGATGAACTGCAATCGGCACGACACCAGATGCCAGCACGACCACCGGCATAGAACGAATAAAAGAACATGAACATCTAAGTGGAACTAACCTTGACCAGGTTCTTATGCTGAACCCGGGCGAGCAGCGTCACCTCCCTGGCGAACCTCGCCTCCCTCTTCGCCAACTCCTCGGAGGTGTCCCCTTTGTGCATAACCTTAATAGCAACATTCTGATTCTTGTACCTGCGCATCACGGCCAACAACAAGCAGGCGCCCATCAGAAGGCAACACAAAAGGGGGGAGCAATTCAAGAACCCCAAGAATCGTTGACCCAAGACAAGCGACTCACTTTCCCTCATACACCTTCGCATGAGCGCCCTCCCCGATCTTTGGCCCGACGAAGAGCAACTTGGGATCGATGAGCCACTTGGGATCTAGGCGGGGCTCCTCCAGCGCAAAGAACCCGTTTCCAGACTCCATCTCTGCAACCAATTTAGTGGATCTAGCATCTACCTGTCCTCACAGCAGCGAATCATGAAGGCTGCCAGTAGCAGTCAAGGACACACACAAAAATCCAATCTTTGCTGCTAATTCCGGACGGATTTAGGCAACAGAAACGCCGGAGCAGAAGGCGTCCTCTGCGTCTCCGCCGGTTGCCCTTCCAAACCCCATATCAGCTGCAACCCACGAGTTTCTACCACGAGAACAATGAAATCTCGCCACCTCCATGTTTCCGAAACTTCATGACAAAGCCAAATGCCACTGCTACCACCAAATCGTACCCCTTTCCCCTTCTTACGAGTAGACAAACAGACAGGCCTTGCAAAACTTGTTGGAAGACGACGAGGTCTTCTTGCAGTCCGCAATGGAGCAGCCGAGTAGCTGTCGAAGGTCGAATCCCAAACCGCATCAGCATCATGCCCTCATATATTTAATATCCCCCTTGATGACCTATCCATCTTTGCATTTACTTCCCCTCTATATATATATATATTGTATATTTCTGTAATCCTTTTAGTCTCTTATGATATAAATATGGATTATTTCTGTAAAACCTTTGACATTTAATAGTAAATTTGTATTTTTAAAATATATTTATAATAAAAAGAAAATTCATAAATTGACTAAGGAGTGCAAAAATCAAAGCCAACCACCAATCAAAAATCAAATCCAGTTCGAAAGTTTTGGGCTGTGGGTCAAAAAGCTTAAGAGGGTTCAGATCCACCAGCTTCCACAGGAATAATAATAATTAGAGTCTGGTGATTAGTTTAAGGAGGACACAACACACGGCCTTTCATTTACCTCAACTGTTGCTTGACGAGAAGGATAAGAGAGCGAGTGAGAGCGCGTGTACGACAGTGGGGGACGCGCATGTGAGAGGAATCATCCCATTCTTTATGCTCCTCTCCTTATTTTATGATGTATGTGATAAGGATATCGCAACAGGCATTGCCTGCCTATCCAGCACGATTATTATGTCATCTGAATCAGATCGGTCGGTCATATTGGAAACACAAAAATCGAACTCTAAGTCAATTCGACTCATTGATTAGATCATTTTGATGTTAAATATCAATTTTTTTTATTTTGTTGTTGGTAAATATCATTCTTTTTTATTTTGTTGTTAAATATCCAGCACGAAAGAATTGAGGAGAGAACAATCCAACTTAATTTTGGCCTGACGATGTGTGATGTATATTGTTACAATATATCATGGATGGTTAAAGAAAAGTCCTTAGTAGTCAATCATCAATGATATCTTACGTAAAAAATATGAGCTAAGAATAGAATAAAAGAAAATAAAAATGAATGTATTTACACTCTAAGCCACTGTAGTTTAAACAATTTAATGTGACCGTAGGAATGACAACCACTTGGCAAGAAAATCTTTATGTTGTGGCTTAACCGTCAGCACGGCCCAGTCCAGTCCCGGATGCGTAAAGTTGCTCACGCAGATGCTCGGGTCATGTTGACGTCGGGTCAGGTTAGGTCAAAACATCATCTCCCGACCGCGGTTCTCCCTCGACGGGTTGTTGTTACTTCGTTGTCTGTTCATGTATAAAGATCAATGTCAGGAGGGAGATTTCCCAATTCAACCTCTCCGAAGTTCAATACAGTGTTGTGAAGTTATGGGGAGTTGAGTGTCCCTCCTTCCTAATCAAGAAGGGTTAGTTTTTATACCTGCGAGGATGAGTTTATCGTACATGGTCAATTAACTGCGGTCGGCTTAAGCTTTTGTGCGAACATCGATTGATCTGCACGAATTGGCATCGCACGACGTCACCCCGAACTTTCTCGAATGATTATACCGTGATGATGTCGTTTGTATAGAGGGAGCAACGAGTGGCTACCCACCACGTGTGTGCTATGCGCCACATCGAACTTGAAGTTCCACGTTTGCATCGTCATGTCTGCTTACCCAGGCCCATGTGGGCGATATCAAAATGTACCATATCAGTAACTCAAGTGAAATAACGTTAGTTCATATCACTCAACCACTTATTAAGATAATATAACTTCTTTCGATGTAATTCAATCAATCAATAAGATCGTGTAATTTTCACCCAAGATAGCTCAATTATTTTTCATGTGATTACATGTCAACTAACTGATTAGTTGAGATGATGCACTTTGAGGTGGAGGTGGAGGTGTTTGTGTAATCTTTGAGGAGCCTTGTTTTTTCCTCTATCACTCTCCTATTATTGTCCTTTATTATAATATAATTTTATATTTTTTTTAATTTTATATTTTAAAATAATATAATAAAAAATTACAACCTATCGATTCAACCAATAATCAATATCTCAGGATTTAATAGGGTCAATAATCAACCCAATCTAATTACTATATTGAGAAAAGGCCTATTAAGTCCAACAAAACTATGCAAGTCAAAATTCGGTTTCATCATAAATCCATCTCAAACACCGAAGCAGCGATGATCATTTTAAATTAGATTAGACCAATTCCGATGGAGAAATGAAATGAATTGAGGTGTGATTTCGAAAACAAAAAGAACCGATCAAGATATAATTTTCAGAAATCAATTAGGAACAAATGGTTTTGCTTATCCGATCCCAATAATATATATGAATTTTGGAACGGTAGGTGTGCCTACATGATGATGGTATGATGCGGCGTCAGATCAATCATAAGGCAAAATAGAGTACGAACGTCAACCCTGCCGACAGCCGTCTGATCCAATAGCAGGGTCTCGTGTTTGGTTCGCGAGTCACGGTGTCGGCTGGACCGGCATTATTGGGTTGCGACAAATGTGGCGGGCGTGTTTGAAGGACGGTGTGATTTGACGTCGTGTTTCTTCGCCTGATCCATGGGCCTATTATTTTATGTCGTTATTACTCGCCACGATGCGAGTTCCATGGGACCATGATTTCGTTCATCCATGGGTAGGCCATTAAGTTTATGCGTCGGGTTGTGGAAGAGGACATTAAGTAGGCATCTGATCACTGCCACTGGAATCAGCATATAAATTAGCGCATTAATTTGTACCATAGTTGACGAATTTAAAGTCCATGATCATAAGAACATGAGGTGAACCCGAACTCGAAGGTGCGGATCCATGTATTGCTCTTGACCCGGGCAAGATCCGACCCGGAATACTGGGCCGGGCTTCTTGTCGTGTCTAATTGTCTCTAGAAGGTTCTTCGCCAAGTCGCCAGTTCCTTAAAGATACATTTATCGTCGGTAGACTAATGCCATGGTTCCGTCGCCTTCCTTGAATCCGAGCTCCAGCACAAGGTATCTTTCCCTTAAACTAGGGTTTCCATTGCTTCTTCTTTTCCTCTCTTTCCGTTTAAGAATATGGATGATCTAGGATCCGATTGCTTACCTGATCTAACACGACCAGATATGGTATCCTTCTTAGGGTTTGTGGTTGTGGTCGATCATTGTTGATGCGATGTGTTGTTGTTCTTTGTGTGATTTGTGAGTCGGATGGAGGAAGAACAATGCGATGCGTTACTTTGCTCTTTCGATGCCCCTTTCTATTTCGTGCTTATTGTGTTTGATGCGAATGTATTAGACTAGCTTGTAGGATTTATTGACGGTGGCTATTGTTTGAATGTGATCTTTAGACACGATGGCTTCTGGTTTGCCTACTGAGTTTCTTTTAGGGTGCATTGGCTGTTCTTCCTTAACTATTATATACGTAGCTCTTGTTTTCTATTTTCATGTAAGACTAAGATTTAGAGATACAATGATCTAGTGATGCTAGTTAAACGCACACATATTTTGAGAATAACTGTCCATCATCCCCATTCTCTAGAATGAAGCCTGAGTTAATTTGAGAGCTGTGTGGTAAACGCGTATACATTCTTAAAGAATTAGAGACCTGTTGTGTGAAATTTATAGCTTTTTAAAACTACAAATACATGACATGGCACTTTTACTTGTTAAAATCAACTGAATTCAAAAGCCTGCAAGAAACTTCCATCATGGTGTTACTAGAGGTAGAGAGGTAGGAAGAAAGATGGAGAACTAAAAAGGATTTTGAAATTAAGGGATAAAAACACTCTTGATTCGGCTTACTAGGAAGGCTGTGCTCCTCTGGTGGGCTGTTGATTGTGAATGGATTTTCCAAGAGTTAAAGTGTCGCATTATTGCGACATGAAGCTCTTGCTTTTCTAGAGAACTTTGCTTTTTCTCATGCAGAATGATAAGATAAAATATATTTCAATTCTCGGCAACTTAGCTAATGTAAGGAGAAGTATCTAGCCCATGATATTGAGGTGGCATCTGTGACCTTTATGCTGAGGTACTGCCTTCATGGAAACTCTGTATGGATCTACACTAATCAAAGGATTATAGACTCTTATGTCTTCACTTAGGAGTTGCTCTACAATGGTAGAGCTGGTCAAGAACTTTGATCTCCTTAATTGTAAGCTTTTAAAAGCTATTTTCTGTGCAAAAACAAGTGTATGTCAAAACTAAGACTAAAGGAAATACATTGATCTCTTTTTTTCAAGTGTTCCTAAATAAAATAGAGCAACATAGTTACAACAAAATAGATCAAATAATGACCTGAGATCAAGTTCTAATTAGTTTATGGATTGAGATAATAATATATTACAATTCAGGAACTAATGGACACAGCAGAAACATAAAACAGCAAATCGAAGAGGATGTCTAAGACCAGCAATAAATTTGATCAGGGTGTTCAACTGACAGCTTTTTGCTTCTTATCGGAAAGCTAATAGTCTTTGAGAAGGCTACAAATTTCTATTTATATTAAATATTTTTTAAAATTAGTTTTAAATTATGCCTAGTTCACGGGCAGCCCAACAATCCCGGGCCGATCTGGATATGTCAACATGTTATTAGGTCCTTATTGTCACTGTTCATGTGGATTTCATCTTCAATTCTAGGAAATGGTTATAATGTTCATTGCATAAAATGGATAGAGTATTCCAATAATTTGTTTAACTATGAAAATAAGCTTAACATGTATATGCAACAATGACATGCTTAAACTGCCACCTAGTTCTGTTAGAATATTTTCTTGTTTCCTTTTGGCAGGAAAAAAAGTATCTGTTTGCTATATTTCTCTTGTCAATTGTTGTCTTTTGCCTTTTTTCTTATCTTGTATTATTTCAAGTCAACATTTATGTTGAGCCAAAAGGTTTCTCTACCGTTTACCAAATGATAGCTTTAAATACTTACTGCACTCAGTTTACATGTGGAAATATAGTCATGGTAGGAACATGGATTATGCATCAATTTATTTAATTTTTCACTTGATATATAAAAACAAAAATAACTTCTTGCAAGGTAGGTAAAGCTATGGGCAATCCAATTGATCCCGGGATATTCCATCCTTGCAACTTGGTGGTCTCTTCTTTCTGTCCCTACCTCCCAAAGAATTTTTTTAAAAAATATATGTAATTTCTTAATCAGGGACTAGAGGAGTTGATAGAGTTTCCTCTGTAGGATGAGGAATACAACTTATCCTTGCCTTATTGGCAAGTTTATGAGCTAAGAAATTCGTTTGTCTGTCGATATGAATCCAGTCTAAGACATTGACCTCCTTAGCTATCATGTGAATATCCTTACAAATGTTATACAAGAACCCAGGAGTAGAATTTGATTGGTTGAGGATGAGATTTATTTCTAGTGTATCAGACTTGTCAACAAGATTCTACAGGTTCATTGATTGCAAGTGCTGCAGGCTTGATGTGAGTTACTGCTGGTGGCAATCTCGACCCCATCTAAGTTTAAAGACAGGAGAGTAAAATGAGTATGAACCATCACAAAAAATGAGAGCTTGTAGGTTCCCTGGAGTATGGAGAAGTTTGTGGGGGAGGTAGGGGACATGCTTTCTCTCTGGAGGGAAGGTTGACATCGTTGAAGAGTGACAAGACTTTAAACTATAGAGAGGATTGTTGGATTCGATGATTTGAGTATTTAGAATGGCAAGGTGAGCATTATGACTCAAGTGAGTTCTTTCCTTCAAGCAAGAATCAGTGGGACAGTCATTCAAGAATTTGAAGGTGCATGTTTGGATTAAAAAATATTCCAGGTTGCGACATGCTGAAGGGTCTGCGCACTCTAGAAAAGCTAGTACTACAGGCCTCCCAGTCGCATATGATCAAATTCACAAGAGCATACTGAATTATGATGGCTCACGCTAGAAATAGTTGTTGGCTCTAAACACGCACGGAAACAACAGAACCTTAGAGCAAGTGATAGAAGGTGGTGAAAGTGAGAACACCTTGCTATTATGATGATCTTTATCGATTAGCCCAAGTAGTAACTTAAAAAATGGGTAAGGGTTAGTAATTTAAGATTAAGCTGAATATATATATATATATATATATATATATATATATAGAGAGAGA